ATAGTCAAACATGTTATCATAAATTAATATCAGAGTGTAATCTCAAAGATCTCATGTGCGGAAAAACACAGTGTGATGCACTGCAATCGAGCTGGCTCCTTTCCTTTGAAAACGAAGTACCTGAAACCAAAACTGAAAATCGTAAGCAAAAAGCTTAGTGAGTTCCCCAGAGCATACCCCACACACAATCCACATAACACATATCGTATCAGCTATAAAAGCTATCTCTACCACATACGCCATATCAATCACATACGCCATATCAATCACATAAGCCATGCACACAACAACTAGGGATGCCCTAGGCTCGTCCCCAGGGTCTTACTCCAGGATGCCATGGGCTCCCCACATGGTCTTACACCTAAGTGTCATGGGCTCTCCCATGGTCTTTAGTAGGAAAGCCATGGGCTCTCCACATGGTCTTACATCCTGTTGCCATGGGCTCTCCCATGGTCTTTAGTAGGAAAGCCATGGGCTCTCCACATGGTCTTACATCCAGGTGCCATGGGCTCTCCCATGGTCTTCCATGCAAATATCACATAAACAAATAGCATTGCACATAGCATATAACCAACTAGCATACCACATATCACTACCTCAACTAATGTACCACATATCATAAAATAGGTCGACATTGGTGCCTTAGACCCATTGGTATGGTGCGGAGACTCACCTGGCACTGCTGACGTCCCGCGGATGCAACTCCAACTGCTGGTTGACAGATTCCCGAACTGCCAACATCAAACAACACCCAATTAATAATTGGGTTCCACTACATAACCATAAGTACATACTTTGGATAATTACTACATTACCCCAAGCTTGGCTTATTCAAGCCCAAGGCCCAATCCATAGGCCCAAAGTCAACTAGGAATCAAAGCCCAACATATGGCCCAATTTTCCAAATTGGGCCCACGCCTATACATGGTCTTATTCTAAGGCCCAACATCATATAATCATTAAGGCCCAAACTATGGTCCATCCATGGCCCAATTTTCCAAATTGGGCCCAACTCCTCATATGGGCCTTACCTTAAAGCCCATTAATTATTCTAGTCCAATTGCTTGACTTTGGATGACCCAATTAATAACCCAATCATTAAGGCCCAATTGAAAGGCCCAATAATACACCCAAGTGAAATTACGGTTTTCACATAAAATGATGATTAGGGTTAAGTCTTCTCACTTAACCCATTAAAGACTTAATCTATTAAGGACTTAATCCATTAAGTCCAATATTAACTTAGCTTGATTGCAAATGATTATTAATTAGTATATTAGATTCATTAAATAATTCTGATGCGGTCCCGATAAGTCCCAAATTAGGGTTTTATTACATTAGGGTTTTCCAACCCACATTAGCCCATTAGGCCCAATAGCTAAGTCCTTAGATCCATTAGGGTTCACTTAAGCCCATTAGACACATGTTTGGGCTTTAATGTCAATTAGGGCTTTATTGGGCCCACTAGGGCTTACAAAGCCAATTAGGGTTTTAGTCCCTTGTCCAAACATCCCAACCGAATCACAACATCAACGAGGCACATTGCCACCCGACACGGTGGCCGGTGGCGGCAGCCACCACCCTAAGGTGGTGGTTTTCAATTTCTTTTCATTAATCCACTTTCTGATTACATTTACAAGGCTTTAATTCCAAATTAAACACACTAATCACAATAAACACCCACACACACGTAACTACCTAATGGTGGCCGGCGGTGGCGCATGGCGGCAGCCACCACCATGGTGGCTGTTCTTGTGGATTCCGGTCAAACCAACACCACCTACATAAAATAACAAACACCCACATGCTCTCTTTCTTGCAAGGAGTCCAACCACCCTCCTGGTGGCAGTTGGCGACGACAGCACCATGGAGAGGTGGCAGCGGTGGTCTTGACGGCGGTAGGCAGCAGCATACAATGAAGGGTGGCCTTCAGGGGCTCGTTTCCGGTGACATCAAGCTAGCAGCCACACGAGTCTTGAAGCAACATCACACACCCACACGAACTCACAGCCACTAGGTGGCACATGGCGGCGACGACAGAAGGTAAAAGAACTAGCGGCTGGTGGCGGTGGCTTGCGACGGAACAGAAGAGGAAGTGAAGAAGGTGGCGTCGGCGACAGCAAGCCATGACGGCAGGAAACAGGAGGCGCCGGCTCATGACTTTGTCGGCGACTGGATAGCGACGACACTTCTCGGTATCTCCGACTTCAACAACAACTGCGCAAGGCAGCAGCAACCTCAGACGTAGAGGGGGGGGGGGTGGACTCCGACGACTTGGCTTCAGTGGTGGCAAGGAGTGGTGGCGGAGGAAGGATGGGGTGTAGGGTGGTGCGGCACCGAGTTGAAGGATGTTGGCGGCTGCAAAAATGGTCGATAGGGTTAGGGTTTGTTCCCTAAATAGCCGACGCCCTTAAGCATGTTTCCATAATGCCACATATAGTCCCTCCCTCCACATTTTCTTTCAAAATAAACCCGATAATTACCATTTAGACCCTCAGCCTTAAAATCCTTGCAACTTAGGTACAAAAAGTTACCAAACAACCCCCAATATCTTAATTATGACATATTCTGCCCTTCCACCTCATTTCCTTTTAAATTAAATCCAGATAATTACCACGGAGCCCCTGACTTCATAAATATTTATAAACTGAGTCCAGAACTTACACTTTTGACCCCCGACTTCTAAAATTGTGACAATTAGCTCTTCGAGATCATCCTTTTATATATAATTATTTATTTTAGGGCTACGAGTCATTCATTAATTTATTTATTTATTTAATAAATAAACGAGGTGTTACATCAAATGAGGTGTAACCTTTTGTGTGTGATTGTAATTGTTCTTGGAAGCTTAATAAAATCCTCTCTCTCGTTCGCGGATGTAGGTCACCTTGATCGAACCACGTTAAATATTGTGTTCACTTGATTTACATTTTTCAAAAATTTTATTTCCGCAAGTTCACCGAAGTTTGTTTGACATTTGTCTGGAGTGCTTAACTTGTTTTGTTGTCAACCAACAATATTTACATTTATACTTAGCACACATCTAATAGTTACAATCTGAACAAAAGGTGAAATTTTTTTCATCAAAGTCAAGGTCTTCATGCTGGTTATATTCATTTGCAACAAGTCGAGCCTTAAAACGCTCAGTTTATATTTAATCTTATAAACGCATGTACATCCTTATGGGTTGTGGGTTTTCTCCCATAGTATAAAGCAGTAATTTCCCAAGTCCCATTTCGATTAAGAGCCTCCATTTTTTCATTTATGGATCTTATCCAATTGAGATCTTTTGAAGCTTCAAAATAAGATGAAGCTTATAAGACTTATTTAAAACAAAAGCAAAGCACTTAGAATCATGATTCAATTTACCATAGGCAACAAATTTTAAATACTGAACTTATGTTTGCCTTGGATAACATAGTGATTGAACCTAGGAGGGGACTTTCTATCCCATTTCGACCTCCTGAGAGACACATGTTCAAAATGTGACTCACGATTTGAAGATAATTCGTCAGAATCATTTGAGTTCAAGTTATCTAGATTAATCAACGCATTATGAATGGTTGGGAGGGCCCCTTTGATGTCATGTCCATGAGATGGATCAACCAAATTAGTGTTATCTGATTGACCATCACTGAAACTCACATGATTGTTATACTTACCAAAAACACTTTGATAACTGTATCAGAGAAAAAAAATGATTAGCACCATCTGACTCTATAGACCTGGAATTTGTAATGGAATTTGTAACAGAACTCATTTTAAAATGGAAAACAATTTCATAGAACTTTATGCCTCTGGAAAAGAAAATATGATCTAAGTCAAGACTTAGAAATTTATAACCTTTCTTTACATTAGAATACCCAATTGTAAAAGATTTCTCAAATATAGAAGAAAACTTATATGAATTTTTAAGTTTTGTAGCAAAAATGAGACAACCAAAAACCCTATTAAATATTGCTTTTCTTTTGTATACAATTTCAGAAGGTGATTTGCCATTTAAAACAGAGCTTGGAGTATTATTTATTAGAAAAGTAGCAATTAAAACAGTTGAACTCAAAAGATCTAATGGTAAGCCGGATTGAAATAACATGGCCTAGCAACATTCAACACATATCTATGCCTTCTCTCTACAATTTCATTTTTTTGTGTATGAACACAAGACATTTGATAAATCACTCCATTTTGTTAAAAAAATTGATGAACTCTTGAATTTACAAACTTAGTTCTATTACTAGATCTAAAACTCTTAACTGACTTTGAAAACATAAACTTTAACATATTAAAAAATTCAACCAGGTTATCAAAAACTTCATCTTTGCACTTTAACAATTAAAATGTACACAACCCGTGAAAAATCATTAACAACAATAAGAAAGATTATGAATCCATCTCTACTACACAAAGCGAATGTGATCAAAGAAAGCTTCAAACAAGTGACATTTCCATATTCCCTATCAGTGTTTTAAAATCAAATTAACAGATATATTACAAGTATAAGAGGGATTATAATCACTGGTAGTGCATGTAAGTTTTTTATTTTAAGATAAATAAGACGCTAAAAGAAAAATTGCAAATAAAGTTATATATATCTAGGGTTATTTTGATCTTCATTGGGAACAGATCAAAATGGTTTGCAATAGGAATGAAAGGTTTCTGGTTGGTTTTTTGTAAACGGCTAATTTATAGTTTTGGTTCCATAATTTTGACTTAACTTCTGTTCTCGATTTTGTATTTGTGTATCAATTACAAAAAACAATCTGATAGACATACTTTGTATTTTAGTCCTGATATCATAATATAAAATCTACATCAATTTATAACTCTCACTTGTGTTTACTGGTAAAACATAAAAGAGTATAAAAGAGTAGAGAGTAGCTCTTGTCATAACTCTCATAATCAACCCAAAAAGACATCCAAACAGGTTTAAAATAGACACTTTAACAATCCTTGTATTTTAACCAATACAATAGAACTTACTTTGCGTCCAAAGGTAAATTTTAAGGACGTTCGATAATGAATTTTGCTGCAGGCGATGCACATGGAAACGGCAGTAATAGCAAATCTCGAAGCATCTTATTTTCTTGATCAACAGAAACAGATGTATCGAGCTCTACTCTTGCTTTCTTTAGCACAGGTGACTTAGCCATGAGGAGCTTCACAAACTCCATCCAAGAAAAAAGGTCACGGAAACATGTTATCTCCATTTCTTTTAGATGATGCAAGTTGATGCCCGAATAATCTTGAAAGTTATAGGACCACTACACCTCCGTTTATGGTCACATATCTAATCAGAAAACATATCAAAATAGTAAGTAGAATCAGGAAGATGTACTAAACCCACAAGTGATAGCTTGTAGTTGATATTTACCTCCAATTCAATCTTCTCCAAATTTGGAGAGCTACTGATCACGCACAGAACAGCCGAAAGCCCAAGGAGACAAACACTAAGAACTACTATTCTCAAGTGGGGTAGTGAAACGGGGAGCTTACGTGGTATAGATCCAGCCAAGTGCTTTAACCAAATACCAAAACTAAGATTAAAAGTTTAAAACACGATGAGATAAAACAATCAAGTGAAGTATTACCCTGATACACAACCACGAGATTTCCAGAACCTGAATTGAAGGTAAACATTTAAACAGCTCAACAAATGTAGTCTCGGTAAAGCATGTTTGATCATGTGGAGTCTGCATCAAAATACCTTTGTAAGATGGTATTAACTCAAAAGAGCTTCATAAGTGGTAATATGGACCTTACCAAGGTAAATTCCTCAAGTAGTGGACAATTGGTAAGAAATTTAATAAGCACTTTAACAGTCATCTTAACCTCATTAAACACCAGGCTCTTCAACATATTAAATCCATTAAACATTAAAGGAACCTCAATTTTACAAAAACTGAGGTCTAGGTGTTCCAATCCTTGGAATGAAAAGAATAAACACGGTAGCTTGTAATATTCATCGATTGAAGTAATCTCAAAAACGAATTTCTTGATATTTTTGCTCCATGAAAGATGAACTATTATCTTGTCAATCTCATTATCAATTCCAACATTAGCAATATCAATAGAGAGTTCCGATATAGGAGCCCTGTGTAGCAATAAAACGTGGAAGATGGCATTGACAAGCTTATATTTATCGAGTTCTTTGTTACCAGATCTAGATGATAAAGCAACCAGTTTTTCATCAAATACAAGTTCCAGAATTCTGGTCCAACAATACCTCCATTTCTTTGACAAAATGCTTGTCCTAATTGCATGTCGCAATGGCATATGAGTCAGAATTTTTTCAATTGTATCTTGAGGGAGAGCGCTGATTCTATCCGAATTTTGGCTTTGAGCCTTCATCTCTTGATGAATTCCTCGATGTTGGCTGTATGCTCCACAAGGCTGTAAAGTATAATTCAAAGCCAAATAGATTTTATTGTTATAGACTCTTTACCAATATTATCAATTGCCATACATTAATACATATATAGTGTCTTTGCTTCAAAAATATATGAACTGGTTGCTTCAATGTTCAAACCAAGATAAAACTAATGGACCGAAGAGACAAATATACAAATGAAAAACACACATGCGCGAGATGAATAGTTCTAGAATCCATATTACACCCACAACGTCACCACAGTTCTGATATCTATATTACAATACATAAATTCCAAAGGTAAGCTCTAGAAACTTGGACTTCCCCTCAGGAGCATTATACAATTGCTATAACATATTATAATATTATATGGTACATGAATAACACACACTAACAATTCCGAAACTATAAATTGGATAACATTCCCCTCTCTTCGTGATTAAAAATGTCAGTGGTTAATAATATCTATCAATAAAAAAGTGGTGAAAAGAGGTCAGGTGTTTTATTGTCAATACAGATAATATCGAAAACAAACGATGTAATTATATCAGAATTGTAGAAAAGGAACAAAGCTTCTAATCAAATTTACGATAATAATAATAATTAATTATAACCGAAGAAAGGAAATTTGGTAGAATTAATTAAATTTGGGATTTTTTTTAGGTTAAAGTGGAAGAAAAGAGGGCACATGCACAAGCAAAAATGTTGAAGAAGGTTGCAGTGTCGAGGCAGAAATCAGAAGGGAAAAGGGGGACAGCGGAAGCCGAAAAGAGCTGACAGGCGGCGCGGGTAGCAGCACACACCTCACAGCTGCTGGCGGTTAAGCACCTGCACAGATACTCTGTCAGAAAATAATGTCAATGGAAGATGTTGTTACCGGAGGCGAGGAAGCCATCGTTACAGTTGACACATAATAATTCTTACTCCATACTTATTTTTCCAGATTCCATGCATTCAGTTCCACTCCAATCTTACGTATGGAATTAAATTACACTGGAATCCAGAAAATCCTTTGGCCTTTGAATTTAAACATTAAAATTACCCAAATACCCTTTTCACCGAACAATTGTTGTTACTTGCCAACCAAATGAATGACAAAATTCAGTTCCTTCATATTCCAAACCCTACAAATTCCAATTCCTTCCAAACTATTCTTGGAACCAAAAATATATTTGAGTAAAACGAGTAGCTATGAGATTTGGGGGCATTTTCATGAAATGTTTAGTTTTATGTAAATAAAAAAAATGCAATACAAGCTGTAATTTACCTTTTCAACTTTCACCATTATTGTCGTTACATGAGCTTAACATTTTTTTTATTTTTATTTTTATTTTTACTTTTACGGAAAGGAGTTAGTTGCAGTTTATTTATTAGTGATAATTGGCCAATTTAAAAAAAAAAAAAAACTCTAAAAAGTTTCCAACCCATGCGAAGCATGGCTCTTTTCCTAGTATATATTAAAGGACATGGGAAGTTTCAACAGGAAACTTCTCTCCTTTATAATTTTACCACATATTTTTTTCTTTTTATAATTTTGGCACTAAAGTTTTAAATAGCTTTTCTTTTTATAATTTTGCCACTTTATTTTTACTTCTTTATATTTTTGCTACTAAACTTTCACTTTTACTTCTTTACAACCATTTTTCTTTATTCTTTATCATTTCGTCTAATGTATTCTTCTATCATTTTTTTTTCTAAAAGGATTCAGTTGTGACTTTTCTCACATGTTTTTTATATTTTCTTTTCTTTTTTATAGTTTGCCACTTTATTTTTACTTCTTTATATTTTTGCCACTAAACTTTCACTTTTACTTCTTTACAACCCTTTTTCTTTATTCTTTATCATTTTTTTTTCTAAAAGGATTCAGTTGGGACTTTTTTCAAATGTTTTTTATATTTTCTCAAAAGTGCTCTGCTTTTTTAATCCATTTCCAGTTTTGTCTGTTATTTTTCAAGATTATTCTATTTTGATAATTTTTTTCCTTCTATTATCAACCCGGACTTTTTAACATTCAGACTTTTGTCACATGTTTTCTAAAAAGTTGCTAAATTCAATCAATTTTCTTTATTTTTTTTAATTTTCGTCTATCATATTATTCTACCATTTTTTTCTAAAAACATTGACCCGTGCAACGCACGGACCTTTTCCTAGTTGTTATTATGGAAAAGTAAAATAAAAAAAAGTATTTATCTTTTACTTTTGGTTTTGGTTTTACACAATAATGAAAACCTATTCAGAGGGTGGCAGGTGTGTATACGTAGGTTTTAATTCAAAAATGTTTCAACTTTTTAAGAGTGGTTCAAAATTGAGATTTTTTTTCATGATTTTGTTAGTCATTTTTTCTTGTTAATTTGGACCCTATTAAACTTTAGATGATGATTATACCCTTTTACTATATTTATTTGCATTTTTAGATTGTTTTATAATATTTTATAATTACAATCAATGTTTTAAAAATCGGTTTGAGCTGACCGGTCGAACCGGAAATCGGGGGAGGGAGCGGTTCAACTATTATCAGTTTTAATTTGATTTCTAAACCGGATTGAACCGACCGATTATTAGAAAAATCTGATCGAACTGTTAAAATAAACCGGTTAAACCGAATAAAAACACATGAAAAAGAACCATTCCTACTCTAATACTTTAATAGAAGAGTACTTTTTTTTGACACATGCAAAAATTCCTTAGAAATAATAATTGGAATGAAGAATTACATGGATTAGACCTTTTTGATAGTCTTATAAATGTCATTTACACTACCTTCTTAGGACTAGATTATGTCTCCAATAAAGACGTCACTATAAATAAGAAAGTCGACATAGCAAGAGTCTCAATGACAAAACTCCAGTTACATGATATTTGTCTCCTTGACAAATACACATGTAGATATGAATCATATCTTTATGATATTCCACAGAGAAGTGAATATTCACAATGGATATCTGCTTATCTTATGAAAATACCAATCATTGGAGAAATCTGTACTGAAAGATGGAAAAAAAGAAGCCATTGGAGAGATTCAGCAAACCAATCTTTCTTATGCAACAAAAATTGCAAAAGAAGAAATTGACAGAATATGTCAAGACAGATATAAACAACAAAGGCTTAAAACTATAAGCAAAGATTGTTGTAACATTCTGTCTTGATTTCAAAGATTTTGATATCGGAAGGAAAACTTATACTAAGAAAAGTATAAAGATAAAAACAAAAAGAAATACAAATCTTTTTGGAAGAAGAAAAAGAGAAGATTTTCTCCAGGAAAATACTTCAAAAAATCTTCGAAAGAAACACCTAAAAAGAATACTTCCTGCCCACAAGGAAAAAAAAAATGCAGGTGTTGGATCTGCAACGAAGAAGGACACTACGCTAATGAATGTCCAAATAGGAAAAAATACCCTGACAAGGTCAAGGTATTACAAACTGCTAATAACGGAGGCTATGAAGCTCTTGAAGAAGAATACGATGGTATACAACATGTTTTTATTTTACATGTTGATACTAATTCCTCGTCATCCTCAGAAGAAGATGAACCAACTACTAATGACTCAGATTAGCCTTAAACAGACTCCACCTTTTAAGAAGGGAGAGGTTAACCATTTTTGTGCAAACCTCCAGAAAAATAATGATTCTCTCATAAATCTCACTAATCCAAATTCTATTTATGTTTCTGCCTTCCTTAACTTCAAAGGATATAAGAAATTTAGGGTACACTGCTTTGTAGACACAGGTGCATCCTTATGTCTTGCAAGCAAGTTCATCATTCCAGACGAACTATGGGAAAATGCTCCCAAAGAAATTATCGCTACTATTGCAAATGGTGACACTATAAAAATTAATAAAGTTTGCAGAAACATTAATCTCGAGCTTGCAGGTGAACATTTCAACGTTCCCACTATTTATCAACAAGACTCAGGAATTGATGTTGTAATTGGCAACAACTTCTGTCAAGTCTATGGACCATTTATACAATGGATAGATAGAATTGCATTTCATCTTAACAACGACATGGTAATTGTAAAAAAGGTTACTGAAGCTTTTAGTAAAGGAAAACCAGGTTTTTTTGAAACCCAGGAAAAGGGTTCTAAAGAAAAACAAATTTCGGGTACCAATATAACCCAAGAAGGAATTATTGGAGAAAGGATTGTTTCTGTCCAAACCACCATTTTCAAATAGATAGAAGATCTTCTTGAAAAAGTTTGTTCTGAAAATCCTATTGATCCAGAAAAAACCAAAGGATGGATGAAGGCTTCAATCAAGCTCATTAATCCTAAAACAATTGTCAGAGAAAAGCCTATGGTTTATTCTCCACAAGATAGAGAAGAATTTTCCAAACAAATCAAAGAATTACTTGATATGAGATTAATCAAAGAATCAAAATCTCCTTATATGTCCCCTGCTTTTCTTGTTAACAAAGAGGCAGAGAAAAGAAGAGGAAAGAAACGCATGGTTGTCAACTACAAGGCAATCAATGATGCAACCATTGGAGATTCCCATAATCTCCCTAATATGCATGAGCTCTTAACTCTACTACGGGGAAAAAATATTTATTCAAGTTTCGACTGCAAATCTGGTTTCTGGCAAGTCCTACTTGATGAAGAATCGCAGCTACTCACTGCTTTTACATGTCCTGATGGGCTCTTTCAATGGAATGTACTACCCTTTGGGCTTAAACAAGCTCCTAGTATTTTTCAAAGACACATGCAGAACGCCCTTCGAGGTCTTGAAAGTTTATGTACTGTATACGTTGATGACATCATGGTCTTCAGAAAAAATGAACAAGAACACTATGTTCATGTTACCCGGGTTCTCAGAACCATTTTAAAATACGGAATAATACTTTCACAAAAGAAAGCTCATCTTTTCAAAACAAAAATCAATTTTTTGGGCTTAGAAATAAATGAAGGCACTCATTGTCCTCAAAAACATATTCTTGAACATTTACATGATTTTCCAAATGTTTTAGACGATAAAAAACAACTGC